ATAAAATAGTGATTATATTATTACAACTAATATTATAATTAATAATAATTACTTTATATTGTTATATACCTAACATATCAACTCATAATGGGGTATTTTATTATTCCCATTTCACAGATGGAGAAACAGAAGCATGGAAAGATTACATGGGTAGTAAGTATTGGAGCTAGGGTTGTGGATCAGACAATTTGGTTTTGGAGCCTATGATTGTAAATGCTTATGTGACCTGCTTCACCATCTAAAACATTTGTAAGGATTTCAGACTGGAAGACTATCTTGAACTAACTACGTAGCAAAACTGTACCCCTACCAATAAAAAAGAGTAGCTCACTAAGCTTTCTATCTTTTCATAGAAGGACAAGTTTAGTCTTTCCCTCTTTCTGTGAACAGGATGTACATTTGCCCAAGGTTCTATGTCCTGCTGACTGTTCTAACAACTTCTCTACCATAGAATCAAGGACTGACAACACTGTCCCCAAATGCCATCCCTGCTAAGTCCCTTGTTCCTCTGTCTTTTGTCTTTTTTTTTTTTTTTTTTTTTCAGATGGGGGCTTGCTCTATTGCCCACGCTGGAGTGCAGTGGCATTATCATAGCTTACTGTAGCCTCTATCTCCCAGGCTCAAGCAATCCTCCTGGCACAGCCTCCCAAGTAGCTGAGACTACAGGCAGTCACCACCATACCTGGCTATTTTTTTTTAATTTTTGGTAGATGAAGTCTCATTAGGTTACTCAGGCTGGTAATTCTTGGCTTCGAGCAATCCTCCCACCTCTGTCTCCCAAGTATTGGGGTTACAAGTGTGAGCCTCCTCACCTGGCCTCCTCTCAGTCTTTGACACTTCTGAACCTGGAGGTTAGGTTGCATACTTTGATCTCACTCTACCCATCTATCCATCCTTGCTTTAATATAGCTTCCTGGGCCTCAGCTGGTTTAAAGAGATTCATCCTATTTCCTTGAGCTTTCTTCTTTGATCAACACTTGCATTCTCCATCCTTAACTGGTTTCTTAGTTCTAACTTGCCCTATGGCTAACCATACCCAGATTTGCCAATACACTGAGAGAAGATGGCCTTTTACATTCCTTTTCATTTTGATTACGAGTTTATTGACAGCGCTTTCCCTCATAGATATATAATACGTGTATTTTTCTTTTTTTTTTTTGAATGTTTTGTAAAAAATATTTTATTAGCCCACCGATCAATTTGGAAAGATGAAATTTGCTTTTATTCCCATCACTGATTTTGAAGTCCCGAGCCAAAGCCGAGCGATAAAAGCAGGTTAAGTGATGAACCGGTTAACCGTACTGCGAGGAGCAGCTGAGGGCAGAGGGCGGCGCCGGGTCATTCTTTTTTTCCCCACACGCTCACTCTCTCTTCTCTCCACGATTATTGACCGCCCCGGGGGCCTGATCACAAACCCTGCTTGGCCAGGGGGGCAGACACCTCGTCGGCTAGCGTGGCGAGCTGGGGCGAGTCTACCATGTCGATGCTGCCGGTGGAGGAGACATTGCTGAGGTGCCATGGAGACGTGTCCCCAGACACCACCGGCGACTTGTTCACGATTTCCACCCCGTGGTCTGTCTTGGCTTTGGCGTTCTCGCGGGAGGTCAGCTTGTGGGTTTCAATCTTTTTATTTCCTCCGCCAGGGACATGAGTGATATTGTCCAGGGACCCGATCTTCGACTGGACTCTGTCCTTGAAGTCCAACTTCTCAGATTTTACTTCCACCTGGCCACCTCCTGGTTTATGATGGATGTTGCCTAATGAGCCACACTTGGAGGTCACCTTGCTCAGGTCAACTGATTTGCAGACTATTTGCACCTTCCCGCCTCCCGGCTGATGCTTCAGGTTCTCAGTGGAGCCTATCTTGGACTTGACGTTCTTCAGGTCTGGCATGGGCACGGGGGCGGTCTGCAGGCGGCTGTTGGCGGAAGACGGCGATTTGGGTGGAGTACGGACCACCGCCACCTTCTTGGGCTCCCGGGCTGGAGGGTTTGGAAGGGATGGGATGCGGGAGCGGCTGCCAGGAGTGCCCGGGGAGCCGCTGCGATCCCCTGATTTTGGAGGTTCACCAGAACTGGATGGTGTCTTTGGGGCGGGCGGGGTTTTTGCTGGAATCCTGGTGGCGTTGGCCTGGCCTTTCTGGCCTGGAGGGGCCGCTCCCCTGGGTGTGGCGATCTTCGTTTTACTATCAGCCCCCTTGGCTTTTTTGTCATCGCTTCCAGTTCCGTCTTTGCTTTTACTGATATAGTGAGCTTCGGTCACGTGACCAGCAGCTTCATCTTTCAGGCTGGGGGTGTCTCCAATGCCTGCTTCTTCAGCTTTCAGGCCAGCGTCCATGTCACCCTCTTGGTCTTGGAGCATGGTGTAGCCCTCTTCATCTTTCCTGTCCCCCAACCCGTACGTCCCAGCGTGATCTTCCATCACATCGAACTCCTGGCGGGGCTCAGCCATCCTGGTTCAAGGCTCGCCTGATAGTCGACAGAGGCGAGGATGGGAGAGGACAGCGGAGGAGGAGAAGGTGGCTGTGGTGGCGGTTGCAGAAGGTGGGCAGTGGCAGCGGCGCTGCTGTTGGTGCCAGAGCTGGTGGGTGGCCATAAATGTATTTTTCTAAATGACCTTCATAGGGATAGGGAAATAACTTGATAAAATGTGTAATGTAGCTGATCCTTTGTTTTTTAAAAATTTTAATGTTGCTTCAAGGTGGTAAGAAAGAATATCAGAGCAAGAAGAGAAATGATTGGTAGCAGGTAAGAGGGGAACTCCACTTAAGATGATTTGTTAAGTAAATTATCTAAAATATATGACTCAGCACATTCATTGTATTTAGACCCAAATTTTGATAGTATAAAAGTACAAAGTTATGGAGATAATGGTGAATGATAACCAGTTATTTCATTAACATATATTAGGCCAGGCATGGTGACTCATACCTATAACACCACGACTTGTGTCAAAAAACTATTTAGAAATATTATTTAGCAAATAGATATGTTGATGTTGTTAGGAACTAGGATTTTCAGTGAGAGAGAAAAATGCATTATAAAGTCAGAGGATCTCTTGAGCCTAGGAGTTCAAGGCTGCAGTGAGCCTTGATAGCATCACAGAACTCCAGTCTCTGTGACAAAGCGAGATCCTGTCATACACACAAAAAAATTTATATATATATATATGTGATATTAACATAGTGTATAATGGGATAGATATTTCAAAAAGAAATGATCTCATTTTTTCACATTATAATTTATTAGATTAATATTTGAGAGTTGAATCGATCCTGATTTTGATGCATAAGCATTGATTCTTGGATCAGAATCACATATTACATTTTGTGAATTTAAAAAATTGGTCTAAAAGTTATTAATGTTGTAGAATACATTTACTTAAAGCAAAGCATAATAATCTCATTTTGCTCTCAACTTTCAAGATGAATAGAAAGTTCCGCATTAATAAAAAAAAATGTGAAATAGAAAACAGTTGACATGACTTATAGTCCTCCTAAAATAGAACTTTTAATTGATGTTACTCCTCTCTAGGCTTAACTCTGAACTTGTGGTTTGTTTTTTGTTTGTTTGTTTGTTTTTTGAGACTGAGTCTTGCTCTGTCACCCAGGCTGGAGTGCAATGGCACGATCTCAGCTCACTGAAACCTCCACCTCCTCGGTTCAAGCAGTTCTCCTGCCTCAGCCTCCGGTATAGCTGGGGTTACAGGCACTTGCCACCATACCTGGCTAATTTTTGTATATTTAGCAGAGATAGAGTTTCACCATGTTGGCAGGGCTAGTCTTGAACTCCTGACCTAAGGTGATCCGCCTGCCTCGGCCTCCCAAAGTTCTGGGATTACAGGTGTGAGCTACCATGCCAGGCCTGTTTTTTTTATAAATATGGGGGAAGGCACATAATTATTGGGGGGACAAGTAGTAACACAATAATAGCCAAGAAGAAAATGTTCTTGTGCAAATTTTCAGATAGTTCTGCCTGTGCCTACAGGCTTTTTATTGACAATTGATTGGGATAAGTGACACTGTGGAGCAGGTGAAGATTGCCTTCCAGTTTTCCCAGCCTCTTATTTCTGTACTATTACCTCTGTGCTATAGTCTTCTTCATGAACACATCAAGATGAAAGTAAGCCAGCCACACTGTTTAATTTCCGATAAGACAAAGGCTGGGTCATTTAGCACTTGGTTCTCTTGCCAGGTCAGGAGCAACAAAGAGACTCTGGTACAGATGATGAAGCTAACATGTGGAGCCAGTGATACCAGCAATACTAGGGGTATTGATCCAGTAATACAGATACAAGCATGCCTGAAGAAAATAGCAAAAAAATAAACCCCTTTGCCACTGGAAATAGAGCGTGATCAGTGGTAGGATGGATCATGTCAGAACATGGAAATTAGAAATACAAGCCATATCCAATAGAACAGTAATAATCCAGTAAACAAATAGTGTAGATCAGGTACATTGTCAGTATCAGATGTCTGTAGGGAGATAACAGGTGGAAGTACTGGCAACGGAAGGAATCTACTGACTGGCAGCAAATAGACACACAGGCAGTCAGGAGGTATGAGGAGCCCTGCTATGTTGTATCAGCCAGAGTTCCAGCAAGAAATACATGGTCCACTAAAATTTGGATGATTTGGAAAGGCTTTAACTAAGGGACTATTTAAGAAAGTGTGGTCTGGGTGTAGGGAAACCATGAGGGATCATGCTGTACCTCAGGGCTAGTCATAGTGGAAATGTTACCAGCCTGGACCAAAGGGAGAGGAAAGGCATGGTTATTGCAACCTGAAAGGAGAGGGGCACATGAAATCTGAAGTGACCCCACAGGGTGGGAGCCAGGGGGATAAATTCTCCTGACTCACTGTCCTCCCTCCCTCTGATCTCATGCCTGGACACTCATTGGCTGAACTCAGCAGGAAAGAGAGTGAGGGAGCCCAAACAGGTCGAACTCCAGAGTCAGAGAGTGACATAGAGACAGCCAAGGAAAGGATCTGGAGGGCCAAAGAAAGGATCTCCTTCTCTAGCATTTAACCAGGACTATAGCCTAATAAACACTAATGAGCAAGCCAAGACTCCAGTCTCTGTGGGAATGGTACTACAGGGCAGAAACTTAGGCAAGGAGGGCCCTGTAAGGGACTACTTGAAGTGAAAAAAGCA